TGCCCGAGGCTCAGGTAATCAGGGTCAGCCAAGGCTTGCACTGCCAGCAGTGGCAGCAGCAGAGGTGTGATGGGGCATCACTTTCCCCTAATCACTGGGTCATCTCCTGCCCTGAGGGCTCCCAGACTGCGAGAGGGGGCAGGCCGGGCTGAGGGACCTTCCCCTCCCATAAAATGAATTTTCATGCACCAGTCCTCTAGTAAATATATAGACAACAATTACTTAGGGCATATAAATAATGGAACAAATTTCTATTCTATTCTATTCTATTCTATTCTATTCTATTCTATTCTAACAATAGAAACAAGAAAAGTAACAAAAAACATGCAAAATCAATATGTAGGAAATAAGCTAAACTTGAAAAAGAAGAAAAGTATGCTATGGTCTTTGATACAAAGATATGTTTAAGAACACTACAGTTAGCCCAGCCGGTGTGGCTCAGGGGTTGAGTGTCGACCTATGAACCAGGAGGTCACGGTTCGATTCCCAGTCAGGGCACATGCCCAGGTTGTGGGCTCTATCCCCAGTGGGGGGCGTGCAGGAGGCAGCCGGTCCATGATTCTCTCTCCTCATGGATGTTTCTCTCTCTCTCTCCCTTCCTCTCTGAAATCAATAAAATATATATTTTAAAAAAAGAACACTACAGTTAAGATATGTTATTGCCAACCAAATAAAATTGATGAGAACTTTTTTCTTGTTCAAAAGTTCATTGTACACCCAGCCTTTTATATTACCTGGTATTGTCTCAAGAATTTAGTCTTCATGGAGATATGTAGGCTCCTCATTGGTGGAAGGCAGAGCACAGGTTAAATGAGGCCTGATCTCTGGGTGGTCCAAGCCAAGTCCACCTTTGGACTATCAGGCCATGATGGGAACTCCTTAGATATTGTCCTCTGCTAGTTGTCATGGGCAACTTGAGTCCTCCTCTGTCTACTTCCTCTCTTTCTCAAACACACATACACACTCTACTCCATCTGGACCATGTAGTTCATTATCTTATTAATATAACAATTGCTACATGGTAAGGGTATTCTTCTCAGCAGGATCATAACTAAAATAGCAATTTTTATTATCTTCAACATGTCTCTAGCCCATCCTTGGGCTAAAGGTTTTTTTGACATAACTTTTACTTGTCTCATTTCCCAGGCATCTGTAGTTCAACAAAAATGTCATTGCTAATTACTATTGTCAAAAGAACTCTAGATATTATCAATAAGTAAACTGGGTATTTTTGTGTGGGGGGGAGATGAGGGGAGAAAAGGGAGAATCTGCTATTACCACTGAAATCTTGTCAGGCTGGCTTTGTGGGATGGACTGGGGTAGGCAATCAAGTTCCACAGAAAGAATATTCCATTCCACACAGGCCACACTCTTCTTAAAAGCTGTTTCCTGACTATTCCTAGAAGCAGCTAGACTCTCTCAGCAGAAGAGCTAAGGCTGATTTTTAGCTCTCTCTTCCTCTTTACCTTCATGGCACATGCTAGAAATTCAGTAACTGCCAAAAGAACAAGTGGATGGAACCATGCTTTTACCAACCTATATGCTGAAGGCTAAAGAGCAGGGAGAAGCTGCTTAAAAGTTCTTGAGAATGAAAATGCCACCATGTAGGAGCAGTCTGTTGGTAGAGGAGATTTTAGCTTTGTTTAAGGTCTCTCTCTTTTATTGTGTACTAGTGGCCCAGTGCACAAATTCATACGCATTAAAAGGAAATTAATTAAAAGAAATATTTTAATATCTCTATTCACTCTTTCTCTATAATAGAAGTGTCAACCAAATTCATGATTGACAATAACAGAATGAAACACACCCATGTGATTGGTTCCAGCAATATATATATATATATATATATATATATATATATATACACACACACACACACACACACACACACACACATATATATGTAAACTTGCTTAATTAGACTTGTTTTCTGATTTAACAAAACTTTTTCCAACCCAGCAAAGCACCACAACTTCTCTTTCAGGTAATTGTCAGAAACACAGCAGTAAATATCAACACAAAGCAGGTTATTATCATACATCACCCAGGGAGAACAAAGGTGAAAATATTTAACTGCAGCAGTGTTTGAGTATATTCTGTGCAGTGAGAAAACCTGAAATCATTTATTTCTTTTTAGTGAGGTCAAGTTTCTAAGCTTTCTAAATGTCTGCTTTCTGGCTAATGGAAAGAAAGCAGGATTCTACCAAGTCTTTTCTATCTTCCTACTCCAGGACTTCTGTGAGGTTCAAATGAGATGAGGCATGGGAAAATGCTTCACAGATATTTGGTTAAAGTGTAAAATGCTTCCACCTGGCAAAGCAAGTTGTGTTCTTGGGCTGAAAAAACTCTGAGGAGGCTAGTTGCTAGGGAAAGAAAGCCAGGCATTGCTATGTGAAGTCATTGCCTGGCACCCACAGCCACCATTTCAGGGCTGGGCTGGGCTTTGCACCATGGCAGCATTGGCTATGATTTGGTGGGCTGTCACGCTGGGATGGTGGTGGGTCCTGTGTCCCACTTGGGGAAAGCCGAGTGTTGCATTGTGGGCACCAGGCCTGCACTGCCATTTCTCTGTAAATGGCCAGTGTGCATCACAGCAGCTCCTGTGTTGAGCATCTGCCCCCTAGTGGTTAGTGCATGCCATAACAACTGGTTGGACAGTCAAGACACTTTGTGTAATTAGCCTTTTATATAGATATTGTTAAATTCTGCCTTTGTTGTAGCCTTTCCACTCCTCCTTTCTCCCCTGGCCCCTTACTTATTTTAAAATAAATCAATACATTTTGGGAGATTTTAAAAGTATCTGTGGGCGCTGGGTTCAGAATCTTCCTTACCAAATGGACATTAGTTCTCCTTGGTGGCTGGGAACATGAATGTTAAATGTTTTTGATCATCACCCTTGGTAAGACTTAAACTTGTATCTGTGAAGTTTTTAGCCAGCCCTGTTCATAGTTCTTATGCCTCTAGATTAACCAATTTGTGAAATACCAGAATTCCCCTTAAAGGAGATATTAATGCTCAAGAGATCACATATCTTATCTCTATCCTGTAACCCAATTAATTCTTGCCTTGCTTTCTCCTAGCTCCATGTAATCATCCTTATATCCTTTTTTTAATTTCAAATGCAGAAGCTGCAAAACTGTCATTCACAGAGGCATTTGAGATCTTGTTCCCTGGCATATGTAGTCAGTTTGGATTAAAAAAAAAAAACTTACAAAAATTCTCTACAGATTTGGATGTTTCTTACACTGACAAATGCCTTCAAGCAGTCTGGTTGTGGGGCATTTATTTGTTCACAGCATGTGTGTGGTGACAGACATGTGAACTGGAGTGCTCAGCCTGATTTTCGCATTTTTCAAGAAAAGTTGGAAATCCTGAGTATTAAAACAAGTAAATTCTCCCAATTTAAAAATGCCAATTCAGATTTCAAAGAAAATAAAATCTCACTGCTTGAGCCAAGCAAAACCTCTGGACTGCATCTGGCACTGCTCTGTGGTTGATGTTGAGCACAGCTGCAGGGAGAACCCTGAACAAATAGATGGCAGGTGTGGGGCAGAAAAGTGACTTGGTTTTAGTGTGATTGTGAAAAAGTAATGCTAATTGTAGTAAATTGTATTATGTCCTTACTATTTATGTATAGTCCCTTGGCAACAGTAGTTTTGAGTCTAATTAAAAATTTAATATTCTGTAAAAATTCCACTTGTATATTCATGCTCTCTCATCCTCCTTAATTTGTGGTTTGAGTCATAGGGACAAGGTTTCATTATCTATCTATCTATCTATCTATCTATCTATCTATCTAGGGGAACTATGCTCATTGCTATGACTCTGAGTTTTTAATAAGTATACTTAATTAGGCCTTAATAAAGGCCTAGGTATTACTTCTAGTCAGATCACATGTGTCTGACTTCCTTCAGGACTTTATTGTATGAAAAAGAGAGGGAAGAAGTCTGCAATAACTTTAACTCTTTTGGAGTACACATTTATTAAATATTATTTTTATGAGAAGCAGGATTTTAGGAATCTGAATGAAAAGCATGCATATCATATATTTACTTTATAGAGACCAACTCATTTTCAGTGGAAAAGTGTAGGTTCCTATGGATCAGAAGCTTGATGGGGTAAGTTCTGTCAAGTCCTAGAGGAAGTACAATCTTCAATAACAGTAGTCTTCAATTATAGGCCAGCATGAGGATGGGGGAAAAAGCTCAAAACTGAAAAAGCAAGATCTGAGATTGAAAATAAATTCAATTGGACTGGAGGTTGCAAAGCATTGCTCCATTTTAATTTCAATGTATAGCATTTTCTAATTATTTGTTTATAATTTTTTTTCTATTTGTTTATTATTTGTTCTTCTAACCCCTCCCTTCACACAGGAGCCCTAGCCCAGTAGTTGGCAAATTGTGGCTCGTGAGCCACATGCAGCTCTTTGGCCCCTTGAGTGTGGTTCTCCCATAAAATACTACCACAGCCTGGCAAATCTATTTTGAAGAAGTGGCATTAGAAGTTTAAAAAATTTGGCTCTCAAAAGAAATTTCAATAGTTGTACTGTTGATATTTGGCTCTGTTGACTAATGAGTTTGCCGTTCCAGACCTATTTTCCGAATTTAAGTAAAATCCTGCCCAGCTGATCAGTGCCTTTCTTCTTTAAGGAGTGGTCTCCTCCTCTCCAGGAAGCAGAACCCGCTCGCACCTATCAGGGATTGGCGCTTGAAAAATAGTTAAGTATGGGCAGTCCCGGAAAACCAGAACCAGAAGCTTCTTTAAATTCCTGGGTCCAATAACACAGCCAGCAACAGAGACAACCAGAAAAACCAGTATAGTGGGCGGGGCCTGGAAAAGGAGACTCCGGAAGTCCTAGGCACAGGAGACTGAATACCATCTCGGCAGTTGACTATCCAGCCTTGCAGACGTTCTAGCGGGCTCCGTTGCGATCCACTCTTTCGGCGCTCGACTCGCCCGCGCTGCCGCCGCCGCCGGCCGAAGGAGGGGCAAAGCTCAAGATGGCGGACAAAACGCCAGGCGGCTCTCAGAAGGCCAGTTCAAAGGTAATTTCTCAGAGGACTGCGTAAGTCAGCGAGTCTCCCCCGGTCGTCTGGGGCTTGCAGATGCTCCAGGGCGGCGGGAGGGCTTGGGTGGGAGTCCGCATTTCGGTTGCAATGACAGGCCGGGCGCCGACGCTCCGTGGTGCGCAGGTTGAGAGGCCTGGCATCCCTCCTAGTCCCAGCTCCGACTCGGCTGGAGACTGGTAAGCCCCGGGGTGGCTAGGGCTGCCGGGAGGAGTCCGGCCTACGCTTGCACTGCATGAAGCCAAATGTTTAGATTGGGGTCTGAAGCGGCGAAAATGCGCCACGGTGTCTCACCTTGCGCGCTGAGGCCGCTGATCACAGCTTGGGAGAGGTGATCGCTTCCCAGCGATTACATCCCTGCCCAGCTTTTCGGTTCTTTGGTTTTGGGTCTCACGGTGCCAGCCTCCCTTCATTTCCTTCAAGTTCTTCGGTGCGACGGGCAGTTGCGAGCGAAGGACCCACCGGAGGGCGCGGGCGGGAAGCGCGTGGCGGGCGCAGCGGGGCTGCCTCCGAGGTTCTTGCGCTGCACGTGGCCTTGCCGGCCTGAGGCCGAGCTGAGCGAGAATCTGGTGCGCCCTGCCTGCGGGTCGCGGGTCAGCGCACTTCCGCGTACGCTTTACTGAAAGGGGCACTTTCTGGGTTCGAGGCTACCTGGATTAAAAAGTCGCCTTGGAGTTTGCAGGGAGTTGTGTGCGCCAGTTGGGAAGCCTTTGAGTTGGAGACGTTTAGTGTTAGGTTGTGTTTAGCAGCATCTGGTCTTAGTTGCCACACTGGGCGGGTTATTTAATGGCGTGGTTTTTGTTTGTTTTTTAGTTCCTCATCTCGAACATGAATGATATAGATATTGCCTGCAGTAGCTGTTAAGTTTTTAATGGTGATGTAAGAAGTTTAACACTATTACGCTCTGTTACATCTTAAAGCCGCTTATTTAGGAAGTTAAGTGTATGGTAGACTGGGCGGACGTGCCTTGCGTTTATAGTTTGTGTGACAAACATTAACCAGTTTTGTAGTTGCTGTCTCAGTTTATAATAAATCATAACCTTGTGTCATTTGAGGAATGATGTTAACAATTAGTTTGCAATTACAGTGGCTTTACCAGACATTTTTTTTAGTTCTGTAAAACTATGGTAGAGGGCCAGTTTTGGTTCTTTACATTATGCATTTACTCTTTGTCATTTTCTTCCCTCCCTGGTACATTTCCCCTTGGGGATTAGGGGATAAGTTGGATACTTGATTCACTTTATAGAAACAGACTCCTGACAAAAATTGCCTTGCTTACTATCGGGAACTGTTGCTAAAGCTAGTTAAATCTATAATAATTTACACAAAAATATCACAATTTTTTGTTTCTCCTCCAAATAATATTTTAAGTATCTCCTAGTTTGAGGCCTTGGATACATTTTAATGTCTGTTTAATCTTCCTTTTATAATAGGACTTATCCTGATTGTGTGTGACTGTTACCTATAATTAAATTGTTGGATCTTCCAGTAAATTCTTTTGTTTTGTTAATCCTTACCCGAGGATATTTTTCCATTGATTTTCAGAGAGAGTTGAAGGGAGGGGGAGAGACAGAAACTCACATGGATTGGTTGCCTCTTGCAAGCTCTGCCTGCTGGGGATCAAGCGTGGGTCACGCCCTTTAACGAAATTGAACCTACCACACCAGCTGGGGCAAATCTTTTTAGATATATTGTTTTTGATTATCATCAGTTGATACCATTAAGAGATACTCTGATGACTGTAAAAGGAATTAATATCTCAGGATTCAAATAATGTTAACATGATTTTCTCTACTAATATAGAAGTTGCATGATGTAAAATACCTTGGATTTTGATTAAAAAAACAAACAAACACAAAAACTAGATTTGGTTCAGATCCTGTGTTGGTAATTAATTATATTTGCAGTTTTAGGCAGATTTTATTAACACCCCCCTCCCCCTTTAAAAAAAAACAAAAAAAACTTGACCTTAACAAGGAAGGGAGAGAGAAAGAGAAACATCAGTGTGAGAGAGATACATCAATGTGTTGTCTCCTGAATCCTTCCTGATGGGATTGAATTTGAAATCTAGGTATGTACCCTGATGGAATCAAACCCACAACCTTCGAGGACACTCCAACCAATGGCCATAACTGGCCAGGCCAGTTGCATAAGCTATTGAGTCTCAGTTTCTTTTGTAATATGAGTACAATTCATCGCTTTTTTACGAGGTTGATGTAAGGATTAAATGAGCTAATATTTATAAAGTACACTAGAGGCCTGATACACGAAACTCATTGCAAGAGTGGGCTGCTAGCACCTGGGACCAGAGCTTCCCTAGTAGCCCCAGCTTCGTCTGGAAGGTCGCCTGGACTGTTGTCTGGACAATGGTCTAATTAGTATATTATACTTTTATTTATTATGGATAATACTAGAGGCTCAGTGCCTATAGAAATTTATGCATGGGGAGGGGGGGTCCCCTTTGCCCAGCCTGCACCCTCTCCAATCCTGGACCCCTTGGGGGATGTTGGACTGTCGGTTTTTGGCCCGATCCTTGGGATCACTAACTGCTCACTTGTCTGCTTGCCTGATAGTCCCTAACTGATCCCCCTGCCAGCTTGATTACCCCCAACTACCCCCCTGCCAGCCTGGTTGCCCCAACTGACCCCCCCCCCCCCCACCTGGTTGCCCCTCACTATTCCCCTCTGCCAGCCTGCTCACCCCTTACTGGTCCCTTGCCCCTCCTCTCCTCGCCAGCCTGGTTGCCCCCAACTGCCTGCCCTGCTGGCCTGATTGTCCCTGTGGACCTGCCAGCCTAGTTGCCCCTTAGTGCCCCCCTTTCAGCCTGTTTTCCCACAACTTCCTCCTCACCCTCAGCCTGGTTGCCCCCAACTCTCTCCCCCCCCCTCCACCCCCACTTCAGGCCTGGTCGCCCCATGCAGCCTGCTGTTTGCTTGTTACTGTGAGGGTGTCATCATCAATTTGCATATTGCCCTTTTATTTCCCTCATATTGTCCTTTTTATGCTTAGAGGAAATTAAAAGTACTTTTCAAAATGTCAGGATAATGTCTAATCCAGAGGTTTAGAATCTTAAGACATGAACTATAATGATGACTGCCCAGGTTGTTGCTTTTTATTTTTAACACAAGTCCAGAAATGATTAGAGAGAGGATCAGACCATTTTGGCTAATACTACAGTATTTGGAGTTTCCATCCTTTGATCTCTGGTTTGATTTCCCTTTCTCTTGTGACAGCAGATGAGTGACATTCTACAATACAGATGAGATTATTCTGTTTCATGTTCATTCTTCTTCTTTGCTGCTTAAATTTCCCTTGATATGGAAAGGGATGTTTGTAAGTCATATTTCTAGACAATAAGAAAAGTTTTAATTTGAAAATGTACAATATACTAATTTTTGCATAGATAATGGCAAAATTATTTGACGTCTTAGTTATAAAATACAGAAGTTATGTTAGATAACTTCTACGGTTCCTTCTAGCTTTAAAAATTACATTTTATGTTTGCATAAAATGACTTCCTTTATGTGTAGTTGTGCCTAGTGAAGAGATCCCGTGCCCTTTTGTCTTCTGTTTAATTTTTTGAAAGTATATTATTGATTTCAGAGAGGAAGGGAGAGGGAGAGACAGAAACATAAACATTCTTGAGGGGAGAGAACCATTGATTGGCTGCCTCCTGCTTGTCCCCTTCTGGGGATGGAGTCTTCAGCCTGGGCATGTGCCCTTGACTGGAATCAAACCCGGGACCCTTCAGTCCACAGGCAGTACAATGTTCTATCCATTGAGCCAAACTGTCTGGGGCTCTTCTGTTTAATTTTAATTAAAGCCTGACAACTATAGAAATTCAGAAATGTTTTAGGAATGAGCTAAGATTTTCTTATGCATTATTCCTGTTTATCACCGGACTAAAATACTACTTTGGGGGAGAGGGACGTTGACGCTATATTTGATTTTGGGAGGAGAGACAAAGACAAGTTTATAATTATTTGCTTATAAACTTGTTAAACATTTTCTTAGAATTTACCAAATTATCATATTAAGAGGGTTTTTTTGTTTGCTTACTCAGCAAAAATGAGGATATGAAGAGAATGTGATATTTTCTTGGCTTCTGCATCTCCTGTGCTGTAATAATATCAATATTGAATTGTGTGCCCTGCTACTGCACTCTAACAATGCTTATTTTTTCCCACATTTCAAAAGTTGGGTTACATAGCTAAATAAACAAAATATTGCTAGCTTCCTTGACATTGAATACTAAGTTGGTTTGGGAACAATTTTGATTGATTGCTGATCAATTGCTGATTTCTTATTACTTATAAGAAATAAGTAAAATGAACATTCATCCAAGGCTTGTGATCCTTAGGTATTAATTACTGCCTATTTACACTTGTTTTTGTTGTTCCTGAAAATATGTAAGATTTAAATACAAAAATCTGCAAACAAAACACAAACCTTGAAAATTAGGCTCTGCAAAGTTTCCAGTTTTATTTATTTATTTTTAATATATTTTATTGATTTTGTACAGAGAGGAAGGGAGAAGGATAGAGAGTTAGAAATATCGATGAGAGAGAGTCATCGATTAGCTGCCTCCTGCACCACCCCCACTGGGGATGTGCTGCAACCAAGGTACATGCCCTTGACCGGAATCGAACCTGGGACCTTTCAGTCCCCAAGTTGACGCTCTATCCATTGAGCCAAACCGGTTTCGGCAAGTTTCCAGTTTTAAATTAAACTGGATTTTTATTATAATATGGTCATAATCTTAAAATATAAGGTGATTAGTTTTATGTGTGGAAGGTTGTGTTTTGTTAAATACCTTAAAAAAATTTTTTTATACACCAGGTATGTGCTAGAAATTTTGTGGAAATAACCTTTTTGAAAGCAAGAAATATTTGCCTGGAGCACTTGAGACTATTTGGTAGAGGTCTCTTTGAGAAGTTTAAATTTTTTTCATTAGGCTTTTCCTCAGTTTAGATAAATTT